TAATCGGGATGGGTGTGTCAGAGGCAGTGCGGTTGGCGCAGGATAGAGCAGGGTTTAGGGCTGTTGTGCATAGGGTCGCTATGAGTCGGAAAAGACTCGATGGCCCATAACAACAACAACAAACATACTAAAATAGGAACTCTAGTAACCTAATAGCTAAGGAGGTGCACTACCAACCCAAAGGCAGTTCATGCAAATCTATAATTTGCTTCTCAGGAGAAAGATGAATAATCTCCTGGTGATTTACAGCCTCTGTAAACATGCTGTGGGATCCGCTATGAGTCATTTTCTGACTGGATGGCAGTGAGAAAGACTGAAATGAGAGATACTAAGAGACAGATCCACACTGGCTTTATGAATCCATACAGATAGGTAAGATAGGGCATAGTTATCTGCTCACCTATCAGATATGATGTCACTGCATAGAAAAAAAGAATTAAATGTTAATGGTGGAGAAACAGGCCAGGTGTCAGATCAATAATAAAGATTTCTCTGTAGTTATTTTTAGCTTCACCAGGCATGGATATATCTCTCTCATACACATACATACATTACCCACTCTCACAATGATCTGTTTTTTAAAACTACAGTCAACGTAATTTGCGGAATCAGTTCAACTGTATATAGAAAATACTGTACATTTGTATTGTCTGTAAAATGAAACATAGCCTGCTAAATATTTTTAGCCAGAGAGCCACACAGTATCTCAACTGTAACTTATTTTTGGTTCCTAGATTGTTGTGGGAGATAAAGTTGTTTTGATGCCAGTGAATGCAGGACAGCCATTACACGCCAGCAATATTGAGCTTCTTGATAACCCAGGATGCAAAGAGGTAAGAGGAAAGAGAAAAAAACAGTTTCTTCTTATGATAAGGAAGAAAGAAGTTACTTTTTATTGTATTCATGAGCATAATCCCACTTATGATAATATTAAAAAAATATGTAGAAAATACTGATTGCTATTTTCACTGGTCATTTAAATATTTTTTATACAGAAATACATACCTCATTGTCAAAAGTTATGTTTTGCTTTTATTATAATAATGAAAATAATAATTTCTAGAATGGAATTTAATTTATAATCTTGTAACTCAACTTTTTTTCTTATTAATAGGTGAATGCTGTTAATTGCAACACTAGCTGGAAGATTACTCTATTCATGAAATTTAGTTCCTATCGAGAGGATGTATTGAAAGGAGTAAGTATGGGCTACATGGAATATTTGCTTAAAGAAGTGAAGATATTTTATATATATTTTATATATTTATAGTAAATAACAGTATATATTATAATATAGAAATATATGCACATGTTTATATTATTTATGTTATAAATGCACAACCTATGATGACTCCTTTGTAATTTAGAATTGGCATCACACTCACTAATGCTTATTTGAAATGTTGCACTATTTTCTTCCCAGTGTTTTGAAATGTCTAATAATTGTTAACCAAGTATTTTCTGAAGAGCCGTGAGTCTTAAAACCACAAAGAAGCACCTGCTTCCCATGTCTCTGCTTCTCATGTTAATTTAGTTGGAAATTCAGTGTTTTTTACTCTTTCTCTTTCCCTAGGGTGATGTTGTTAGATTGTTCCATGCAGAGCAAGAGAAGTTTCTGACTTGTGATGAATATGAGAAAAAACAGCACATTTTCCTTCGTACCACTTTGCGCCAATCAGCTACTTCAGCTACTAGTTCTAAAGCACTCTGGGAAATAGAGGTGTGTAAATATTTTTGGATTTTAATACTTAGATAAAAACACAAAATTTATTAGACTTAGTAAATTTATTTTTCAAATAAAAATTTTACTTTATTTACAAAATTTATTAGACATAGTACTATTGAAATAAGCATTATTTATGATAGACACAAAAGAAAGAATATATGTGTGTGTATAATATATATTTTATTTTATATATCTGTATATAAAACGTGTGTGCCTTCATTTCTGTGGCCTGTTGGAAAGGATAGTTCTTTATATCTGTCTTCTCTGAGACTTGTAGTCTCATGTATATTTATGTGGAAAAAAGAGAGTATATGGTTTTACTTTTTAAAATCTGTTGTGAAATATCAAGACTTATCAGACTTAAGGCCAGGTGCCTCAAATGACATTCAAGTTAAGATGCAGTAGGAAAGGTCTATGTGAAGAAAAATACCAGAACCACACAGTCACCAAAGAAAATCTTTCTTTCTTCTGGGGATGCCATTAGAATTGAATGTAGGAGACCGATCTAAAACCAAAAACTACTGCTCTTGAATAGATTCTGCCTTACAGCGACTTTAATCTTCTGCAACGAACCTTTCAAGCTCTCCTCACTTTGAGAAAGCAAGATTGTGTCATCAGCATAATACAAGTTGTCAAGTCTTCCTCCGATCCTGATGCCACATTCCTCTTCATAGAGTCTAGCTTCACAAATTATTTGCTCAGCATGCAGTCTGAAGAACCATAAAAAAAGAAGCCATCCTTGATGCATACTTTTCCTGATTTTAAGCCATGCAGTGTTCCCTTGCTCTATTTGGACAACAGCTCTTTGGTTTAGGTATAGATTTCATGTGAGCACAACTGAATATGCTGAGATTTCCATTCTTCTCAATGTTGCCATAATTTTTTCTCATCACACAGTCAAATGACTTTACATAATCCATAAAACACCAATAGATAATCTCCTGGTATTCTCTGCTTTTGTCCAGTATCCTTCTGACATCAGCAGTGATATCCCTAGTCCATGGTCTATTCTAAACCCCACTTTAAATTTTTGATTCTTATCTGTCAATGTACTGTTCTAGTTGACTTTGAGGATCTTCATCAACACTTTGCTCACATGAAATATTAATGATATTGTTTTATAATTTCCACATTCTGTTGGATCACTGTTTTTGGGAATGGGAATAAAAATTGATCTTTTCCAGCCAATTGGCCAGGCAAATTTCCTGACATAGACTGTTAAGCATGTCCAGGGTTACATCTGTTAGTAGAAACATGTCAAATTGGTGTTCTATCAATTCCTGGGGCCTTATTCCCCCCCACCCCCCAATGCTTTTATCACAGTCAGTTTGAACTTCTTCCTTTAATTGGCTCTTGTTCATATGGTACTTCCTAATATTTTTCATTGTCAGCCAGTTCTTTTTTATACAGTGACTGCATATGTCCTCATCTTCTTTTGATGCTTCCTAGATCATTCAAAATATTGTCCATAGCATCTCTCAGTATTGCCACTCAGGGCTTGAATTTGTCCCTTTTTATTCTCTAACGGCTTGGATTCAGTTATTTAACTTAGGCTTCTCTTCCTTTTGTTTTGGCTTCCTAGCAATCTAATGCAATTTTCATAGTCTCTTCTGACATCTATTTTGATTTTCTCTTCTCTGTCTTTGTAATGACCTTTTACTCTCGCCATGATTTTCTTGATGTCATCCCATGATCCCTCTGATCTTCAATCATTTGTGTTTAATGTCTCAAATCTGTTCTTGAGATGATTTTTAAATTCAAATTGGATGGACTTAAAGTCATATTTTGGTTCCTGTGGACTAGCTTTAATTTTCTTCAACTTCAGTTTGAACTTGCATATGAGTAATTAATAGCTGTTCCATAGTGAGCACATGGCCTGGTTTTGACTGCTAATATTGAGTTTCAGTAATTCTTTCTGCACATACACTCAGAATGATTCCTGTGTAGTCTGCCAGGTGAAGTCCGTGAAAGCCACTTTGTGTGTGTGTGTGTGTGTGTGTGTGTTTTAGAAAAGTGATAATTGATGTGAATAAATCATTGAATGCACAAAATTCAATGATGTGATCTCCAGTTTCATTTCTGTTCCCAAGTCATCTTTCTGATGACCATTTCTTCTTCATTGTTTCTACTTTTTGCATTCTTGAAATCAAGAATTATTAATGCATTTTAATTGCATATTTGGTCAATTTTGAACTGCAAATGTTGGTGGAAGTCCTCAGTTTTCTCCTATTTGGCTTTAGTTGATGGTATATATATTTAAATAATATATATCATGTATTATAGCTCAGTTAACAGGTCTTCTTTGTAAGAATTTATTTATCCTTTAATGAAAGGAAATAAGTTTTACTGTATCAGTGTATCAGTAGAGTTCAGAAAATATATGGTTTTTCTCTTTTAAATTTTGAATGAGCCAACATCTGAAGATTTCATCTTGATTTAATGGACATCTAGATCTAGAGCAGTGATTTTTAGCTCCTTCAACCAAATCATTTACTTTTTAAAAAATTTTTTTTGTGCGTTGATTTTTTTTAAATTTTCAGGAGTGGCATCCGCTTCCTAAATAACATGCCTCTGGAAACTCTATGAACTTCAATAAGTGTCCATAGTTGTAGAGTGGCTTCAAGTCTTTTTTTCATCGGGTCACTATGAGTTGTGCTCGACTCGAAGGCAATCAACAACAACAACTCGTTTATTTACAAAATTCTATTACATTGTTCTTAAGGACAAATTCATTCAGTTCCCCTCACCCTGCCCCCATCAAATTGTAAAACCCCATGATTAATCCCTCTGCCCCCTGCGTATCCACATCCCTCTGCTTCCACCCTCCCCTCCCCCTCTTGGATCTTTATACTCATTCTACAATAATGGTTTTATATGATATTTATCCTTGTGCAACTGAGATAGTTCAAATAACTTCCTTTTTACAGCTTTTATCTTGTAACACTTTTTAATATCCTATAGTGAAATATCTCAACTCTCTCCATAATAGATGTAGAGAAAAGTGAAGTTGTCCATTTTATTTTCCTTTAATCTACAGTTAACACCTATGATAACAGGAATTATGAAATCAAAAGACATTTTGCATTGGGACTGTCTATTCTCAAAGACCTTGTCAAAGAACTAAAGAGCAAAGATGTCAGTTGAAAGACTTCGGTGCACTGATCCAAGCCATGATATTTTCATTTGCTTCCTGTGTGTCTGAAA